TGTTTATTACTTTGACATAAAGGGTTTTCCAAAAACATGTTCTGTGTGGGGTAGCTTTTACTTTAAAGGCCTTATCTTTTAGGGTAATACTTACATCATGGCTGATCATCTTGATGTCTCTGTTCCTTTCACCAGCCCTCTTCAAGGTTTTTTAAACTACTACTATAAAAATAAACTTTTCAAAAAAGATATGTCAGAATTTCAGCAACCATTTTCAAAACAAAATCTACACACTCCTACTGTTCTCCCCATGGTGCACCATCAGCAACTTTTTCTTTCTTCTTTTTGACTAATTGGGCTAACCAGTGTTTTCACACTTTAGTAACCCCGGGTTGGTGGCCACAATTAAGTTTAAAAATACCCCCGGGGGACACATAATGCCCCCAAAAAAAAGATAGAAGAAGGACCCAGAGGTCCTGCCTGTCCCAAAAAAGAGAGAGGGGGGGGAGGGCCAGCTAAACTCCTCCCCAGATTTAAAAAAATGTAAGCCGATTGAAATAAACCCTATCCGGCCGGGGTTTAACCCCCGGGGCATAGGTCTCAAAACTAGCTGGTCTAGTGGCTAACGCGACGGGCTGGAGTTTTGAGACTCTATGACCGTGGGTTCAATCCCGGCCGGGGGTATGGTTTTCCTCCCACCAAAACAAAAGACTGTTGCCAAGCACAATTCTCTTGTTACCACAATTCTACCACACTTTAATTTACTTTTACAAAAAGAAATACAACTTTATAAACTACTTATTTAAATTGTGTGTTTGTGTCTATAGTATAACCTATTATACTGAGAAAAAAGGCTTGACCCAGCTGCCTCTCAGTCCTAAGGGTGATCAGCCCTTATGACATTTAGAACTGAGTCCCCATCAATTCAATATAATTAGGTATTCCAGAGTAACTGTTACTTATAAATACATGTTGGGTCCTATAGCCCCATAACACACACCAATAACAGTCTCTCAACATCTTCTATCACTTGCGATCTCTGTTTTGAAAACAAAGTTGCACCTTTGGCAAGAACAGCTTCCTTGATTGCCGTTTTCTTGGCCACAATAGTAGCGATGGTTGATTGGGGTTTTGTGTACAACCTGGCCAGCTCGGAGACATGCACTCCACTTTCATACTTAGCAATGATCTCTTTCTTCATATCCATAGTAATTCTCACTCTTTTTGCTGTAGGGTTGGCACTAGAAGCTTTCTTGGGGCCCATGGTGATTTATTTTGCAGGTGCAATCACTAAAAAAGCTGTGATAATATGAAATGTTCTGACTGTATGTTTGGATGGGACGGCTGGCTTGTAAACACTGGCACCCATAGAACAAGTGAGGCGGGCTCAGGCCGCACATGGACGCATCTTGAACGAATCCCATGGAGCGAATTTTTTAGCGCTAGCCGAGGCAAAATTTTTGTGTTAAAATTTATTGCTAGGCGGATTTAACATTATGCGATGCGTTCGTTAGGCGAGGGTCCACTGTACTAAAATGACACTTACCTTTATTGAAGAGCATTGTTGAGTGATGAGACACTTTTTCTTGAACACTCTGGGATTTTCACAATGATACATGAGTAAAGGCTTCACTTTGCAATCCCCACTAGCATTACAACAAAACAAGAAAATTAGCCTGCTTTTTATAGGTTTGTGTCCTGGGAGTGCCTTTTCCTTCTGAGTAATGTAGGTCCTGTTTGGCATTTTCTTCCGGAACAGGCCTGTTTTGTCACAATTGAACACTTGTTGGGGTTGGAATTTTTCAGCTTTGCCATGCCTTATCACACTGTGTATGCCACTACAATTCTTGAATCTTTCAAACCAACCTTTGCTGGCCTTAAATTCACCAGTATGAGCACTAGTTCCAGGCATTTTTTCCTGTTCACCTGGGTGATAGTCGACTGGTGTGGGTCGCATCCAGGGGTACAAGATCAAGGACCCCAAAAGAAATAAGTTTGACAGTCCTCAATGACGCACTGACTTTCTTGGGTTATCCAGGGTGGCTAACCCTCTGGGGTTAATTGTTTCTCGGTATTCTTGATAAGCCACACCAACAATAGTCTTCCCACATCTTCGAGTAATACAGCTGACCATGGCGCAGCAGCAGCTGACGGTGTTGCAGCAGCAGCTGATGGTGGTGCAGCAACAGCAGCAGCTGATGGTGTTGCAGCAACAGCTGATGGTAGTGCAGCAGCAGCTGATGGTGTTGCAACAGCAGCAGCTGACAGTGGTGCAGCAACAGCTTACGGTAGTACAGCAGCAGCGGCAGCAGCTGATGGTGTTGCAGCAGCAGCTGACAGTGGTGCGGCAACAGCTTATGGTAGTACAACAGCAGCTTATGGTAGTACAGCAGCAGCTGATGGTGTTGCAGCAACAGCTGACAGTAGTGCAACAGCAGCTAACAGTGTTGCAGCAGCAGCTGATGGTGGTACAGCAACAGCTTACGGTAGTACAGCAGCAGCAGCAGCAGCAGCTGATGGTGTTGCAGCAACAGCTGATGGTAGTGCAGCAGCAGCTGACGGTGTTGCAGCAGCAGCTGACCATGGTACGATAGTATTTCGAGAGTATTTCTCACTCTTTTTAGCACTAGAAGCTATCTTGGGGCCCATGGTGGCTTATTTAGCAGTTACAAGCACTAAAAACACTGAAATAATACAAAATATATCGTTGGTAGAGCCAATTTTTTGATGCCAAAGAGCGCATTTAGACAAATTTGCCATTACTTGATGCCGCCATTGAGCGGGGATCCACTGTAATGTAGATCTTAATATTACGGATTGCGAAAAGGATTTAGGAGCTCTGGTTAGCAGTAATCTAAAACCAAGACAACAGTGCATTAGTGTTTGCAATAAAGCTAACAGAATTCTTGGCTTCATAGCAAGAGGTATAAATAATAGAAGTCCTCAGGTTGTTCTTCAACTCTATATATCCTTGGTTAGGCCTCATTTAGATTACGCTGCACAGTTTTTGTCACCCTATTACAGAATGGATATAAATGCACTGGAAAACGTACAAAGGAGGATGACAAAGTTGATCCTATGTATCAGAAATCTTCCCTACAAGGGTAGACTGAGGGCCCTGAATCTGCACTCTCTACAAAGGCATAGAATTAGGGGGGATATGATTGAGGTGTATAAATGGAAAACAGGAATTAATAAAGGGGATGTAAATAGCATGCTAAAAAATATCTAACATAGACAGGACTCTCACCAGTGGCTTTAAATTGGAAAAATTCAGATTCAGGAAGGATAAAGGAAAGCGCTGGTTTGATAATAGCATTGTGGATGAGTGGAACAAACTCTCGAGTACCGTCATAGATGCCAAGATGTTGTTTAATTTTAAAAATAGGTTGGATAAATACATGAGTGGGTGTGGGTGGGTGTGAGTTGGACCTGACTAGCTGGTGCTACTAGGTCGGATGTAGTGCTCCTTCCTTAAGTGACGTGTCTGACCTCACTAGGTCAAGGCATTGGCTTAAGCTGGTGGGAAAATTGGACCTTCCTTGCATAGGCCAGTAGGCCTTTTGCAGTGTTCCTTCTTTCTTATGTTCTTATGCAAAGGAAAATGGTGAAAAGCAGGAGTTTGAGGTAATCAGTCCCTCAACCTTGAGCTGATGTGATCAGTCCATCAATCTTGAAAAGATACCACCTATGACTGCTGCACCTCTCCTGCCTACAGTATATAAGCCACTTCTTTGTACATATGCTGTATTCTTTTCAAGATTGATGGACTGATCACATTGACTCAAGGCTGAGGGACTGATTACCTCAAACTCCTCCTGTTCTTCACCATTCTTCTTTGTATGGACTGATGAAGCCACTGTGTGGCAAAACGTTTCCTCATTAAAGATACCCAAACGTTGCACGTGTCTAATTTATCAAAGAGTCATCATGTCTGATTCCTGAACAAGTGAAAATGTGTATTACTTGCCAGTCATGTTTATTATGCCTTATATCTACAAGCATAGTATAGCACTTTGTCTGGATTTTTTAGGTTATCCTAGGTAATTTACACTATGTATAACTGTATTTATGTGTACCTGTGAGACAGAGACAGAGATAGATACACACTAACTAACAGAGATAGATACAGACAGACAGAAGGAAATAGAGACAGGGAAAAGAAATCAGCCAGCCAGTCGGCCAGCCAGCTGGCCGGCCAACCAGCCAACATGAATTAATAAATAATAATACAACTTACAACCCTTGATACATATGATTAATGACACACTTGTGCAACACTTGTGTATCTTTATTGTGGAAACATTTTGCCAACCAGTGGTTTCCCTAGTCCAATACAGAGAAGAATGGTTGAAGATCAGAAGGAGATTGAGATAATCAGTTCCCTCATCCTGGAGGCGATGTGATCTTTTTGTCATATGCTACAGTGCAGCATATGCTACATTGATGGACTGATCACATCAGCTCCAGGATGAGGGACTGATTACCTCAAACTCCTGATGTTCAACCATTCTTCTCTGTATTGGACTGAGGAAGCCAGTGGTTGGCAAAATGTTTCCACAACATACACAAGTGTTGCACAAGTGTCTACAATAGATACCCAAGTGTTGCACAAGTGTCTACAATAGATACCCAAGTGTTGCACAAGTGTCTACAATAGATACCCAAGTGTTGCACAAGTGTCTACAATAGATACCCAAGTGTTGCACAAGTGTCTACAATAGATATCCAAGTGTTGCACAAGTGTCTACAATAGATATCCAAGTGTTGTACTTACAAGTATCTCATTCATCAACCTGTCAACTCTTTTTTTTAATCAGTTATCTACATTCCTTGATAATATGTAAACAATGTCTTCTGCTACATCAGAGGAAGTGGGTAACCTAGAAAGAGTTATTAATAATTGAATGTAGTGTACTAGAGGAACTAAACAGGTCTCATAAAATATATACGGTGAGCAATACCTCAGCACTATGTCATACTGAAGACAAGGACAGGTTGAATGGGCATGCTCAATAATTTAATGTTATGGGTCTAGTAACGCATTGTTTTATTGACAGGACAACCACTGTTTGCGCATCAAGATCCTTGGTGACTGTTACTACTGTGTTTCTGGCTTACCTGAAGCCAGGAGTGATCATGCCAGGTGTGCAGTTGAAATGGGCCTTGATATGATCGACGCTATTGCGTAAGTATGGCCTTGTGATGTAAGCAGTCTTTCTGTTTTTCTTATTTTGCTGTATATTCATTGTATTTGAGTTTCACTTATTTTAATTAGTAATGGTGTTGCATGTTTTTCATAGTAAGAAAAAGCTTAAAGCATCTTATGCTAAAATACTGTTTTTGCTTGCATGATTTATTGTTTCTTAAATATTGTACTCAGTATACTCTTATGTTATTTGTTGGAGATGAGCAGCTGAATGGCATGTTTATGTAATGCAAAATAAATGAAAGCTCAGGATGAAGCTTAAATATCAATAGTTATATGGATGAAGTTATTATCTTTCTCATATACAGCAGTCAGTAAAAAAATGTATAGGATACTGAAATATTTACTGAAGAATAGTTTGGTAAATATTGTTTGATATTTGGTGTTTGATTGTCAGTAGGAGTGTATGAGGAGAAAAATCTTCAAAGTTTGTGAGTATTCACTATGTGGTAATGTGGCAAAGCTTGTGAATATACACTATATGGTAATGTGACAAAGCTTCTGAATATACACTATGTGGTAATGTGGCAAAGCTTGTGAATATACACTGTGGCAATGTGACATCTTGTCAAACTACTACACTATACATTGTTATATTTTGAACGTGAAACATTGAAGACATATTAACTGAATAAGAAGCTGTTTGTAAATGAATAGCTTTGTTGAAAGAAATAGTTTTTTATTGAGGGTTAATGTGTATATATGTGTGTGTGTGTGTGTGTGTGTGTGTTAGTTAGTTACCATTTGGTCCTAGGCACATGTCGATTAGACACTAGGCCTGTTGTATGTGCATGCGTGTACTCGCCTAATTGTGGTTGCAGGGGTCGAGACTCAGCTCCTGGCCCCGCCTCTTCACTGATCGCTACTAGGTCCTCTCCCTCTCTGCTTCCTGAGCTTTGTCATACCTCTTCTTAAAACTATGTATGGTTCCTGCCTCCACTACTTCACTTGCTAGGCTGTTCCACTTCCTGATGACTCTATGACTGAAGAAATACTTCCTAACATCCCTGTGACTCGTCTGAGTCTTCAGCTTCCAGTTGTGACCCCTTGTTTCTGTGTCCCCTCTCTGGAACATCCTATCTCTGCCCACCTTATCTATTCCCCACAGTATCTTGTATGTCATTATTATGTCTCCCCTGACCCTTCTGTCATCCAGTGTCGCCAGTCCGATTTCCCTCAACCTTTCCTCGTACGACATTCCCCTGAGCTCTGGGACTAGCCTAGTTGCAAACCTTTGTACTTTCTCTAACTTCTTGACGTGCTTGACCAGGTGTGGGTTCCAGACTGGTGCTGCATACTCCAGTATGGGCCTAACATACACAGTGTACAGTGTCTTGAACGATTCCTTATTAAGGTATTGGAACGCTATTCTCAGGTTTGCCAGGCGCCCGTATGCTGCAGCAGTTATTTGGTTGATATGTGCCTCCGGTGACGTGCTTGGTGTTATGGTCACCCCAAGGTCTTTCTCCCTGAGTGAGGTCTGTAGTCTTTGTCCACCTAGCCTATACTCTGTCTGCGGTCTTCTTTGCCCCTCCCCAATCTTCATGACTTTGCATTTGGCAGGGTTGAATTCGAGAAGCCAGTTTCTGGACTACATATCCAGCCTGTCCAGGTCTCTTTGCAGTCCTGCCTAATCCTCATCCGATTTAATTCTTCTCATCAGCTTCACATCATCTGCGAATAGGGACACTTCAGAGTCTATTCCTTCCATCATGTCGTTCGCATATATCAAAAACAGCACTGGTCCTAGAACTGACCCCTGTGGGATCCCGCTCATCACAGGCGCCCACTGTGATACCTCTTCAGGTACCATGACTCGTTGTTGCCTCCCTGTCAGGTATTCCCTGATCCATTGCAGTGCCCTCCCTGTTATATGCACCTGATCCTCCAGCTTCTGCACTAATCTCTTGTGGGGAACTGTGTCAAAGGCCTTCATGCAGTCTAGGAAAATGCAATCAACCCACCCCTCTCTCTTGTGTCTTACTTCTGTTACCTTGTCATAAAACTCCAGAAGGTTTGTGACACAGGATTTGCCTTCCATGAGCCCATGCTGGTTTTCACTTATAATCTTGTTCTGTTCCAGGTGTTCCACCACTCTCCTCCTGATAATCTTCTCCATGACTTTGCACACAATACATGTCAGAGACACAGGTCTGTAGTTTAGTGCCTCATTTCTGTTTCCTTTCTTAAATATGGGGACTACATTTGCTATCTTCCATTTCTCAGGTAGTTGCCCAGTTTCAAGGGATGTGTTGAAGATTGTGGTTAGGGGCACGCACAGCATCTCTGCTCCTTCTCTAAGGACCCATGGGGAGATGTTGTCTGGTCCCATCGCCTTTGAGGTATCAAGGTCACTTAGCAGCTTCTGCACCTCTTCCTCGGTTGTTCGTATGTCATCCAACACTTGTTGGTATATTCCCTCTTGATGTTCCCTTCTGTACTGTCTTCCCAGAGCCCTTCCTGTCTCTACTGTAAAAACTTCCTTAAATCTCCTGTTTAGCTCCTCACATACCTCCTGATCATTTCTTGTGAGTTCTCCACCTTCTGTCCTCAGTCTGATCACCTGGTCTTTGACTGTTGTCTTCCTCCTGATGTGGCTATACAACAGTTTCAGGTCAGTCTTGATTTTCGATGCTGTGTTATTTTCATACTGTCGCTGGGCCTCCCTCCTTACCTGTGCATACTCGTTGCTGGCTCTGCGACTAATCTCCCAATTTTCATGTGTTCTCTGCCTTCTGTAATTTTTCCATTCTCTATTTCACTTTGTTTTTGCCTCCTTACACCGTGTGTGTGTGTGTGTGTGTGTGTGTGTGTGTGTGTGTGTGTGTGTGTGTGTGTGTGTGTGTGTGTGTGTGTGTGTGTGTGTGTGGATGCTTGCATGCATGTATGTGCATGCATGCATGTGTGTGTATGTGTGTACATGCATATGTGTGTGTGTGTGTGTGTTTGTGTATGTGTGTGTATAAGTCATAAATAGGAATAGAAGTTACAGATTAATTTTTGAGATCTGTTGAATATTTATGGACAGTTTACACACTCAATGGGATCAATACTTTCAGTTATTGTAAATTAAAAAAATGTCTTGAGTATTGCTAGAGGTGTAACAATTTAATGCAGTAGGAAATTTGTAGATGTCATAGATGTTTTTCACACAAAAAAATTTCAATAGGAAAATTTTAAATAACTTCCAAATTTCTGTTTGTATTATCAAATAAGTACCCATTGATTCATTCTTGTGGGAGTCTAGTCAGAACTCTTGACCCTCTTATACATACTCTTATAACTGTTTCTGAAAATTGCATCCACTTCTTCCTCATCCTAATTATTTCGCTGTACTACCTAGTATACCCTAACAAATTTTATATTTCCATCATTTGTTTACTTCATCTGCCTACTTAGTTTCCATCTGTGTTCTCCATTCTGATCTCCATATTACAGACTTTCCCTTTCCACCTTATCCATGCAGAATTCTTGAGTACTGTATGTCATGATGACATTAACTTGGTCCTCTCTTCCAAGATCTTCAGGTTCATTTTCATTAGTCTCTTCATAGTAGTGTATTCTTCTTGGTTTTGTGACTAGTATGGTTGCAACCCTTGACTTTTCCAACCTTGTGAACATGTTTACGATGTGGGATCTTCGTATAAATGCTGCTTCTCCAGGATTACTGTGAAGTGCATTGTATATAATAGTGTGCTAAAGCATTTTATATTATGCTTCATGAAGGCCTTCCTGAATTTTGCCATCCTCTCATACACTGCCAAATTTGTTCAGTTGATGTGCACCTTCATCAGTTTGTCCAGTGTAATGGTCACTCTTGGCGATTTCTCTTTTAGTGATTGTTGTAGGATTTCTTCTCTCAACCTGTGCTTCACCTATTGCCCTTCTCTTTTCTTGCTGATTTGCATGACATTGTGCTTTTTCAGATTAAATTTTGATTGACCATTCTTGCAACTTATCTGAAGCTCTTCTGGTTGTGTAGCTTTTTGTACCTGTTTCTGTTCCTCTCATTAGGTTTACTGCAGTTGCAAACTAAAGGGGAATGAAAAAATATTATAGGTGTACAAGATTGAGGTACAAGGGTTGAGAGGAGGAAAATGAGAGGGAATAGCAGAGGATAAGGTTGTGGGAGAAGAGTGGGTAGTAGAGGTCGACCTGAGTTGTTGAGGATTTAAAGTCATAAAGGGAAATACTAGTTGTCATTGCCTGGTATTTATCAACACTAAGGTAAAGGGCTTCCTCTTGGGAAATATCTTCAAAGACATTTCCACCCTATTTCACTTCATCCACTCCTCTTTCTCCATCTGTTATTTTTAGCTCTACTTTCTTTGATAAATATGAAGGCAAATCTTGTTGTGAATGTTTTATCTGTTTAGCTCCTCACAAACTTATTTGTTGTCTACCACATCTTCCTTTTTCAGTCTTATCACTTCTTGCTTTACAATTATTTTCCTTCTTTTGGGTGTATAAAAAAGTTTTATTCTTTTTTAGCATTTTCTACCATATCATTTTCATTGGGTTTGGCTCTTTCTATGAATAAAATAATAATAATAATAATAATAATAATAATAATACAGTGGAACCACTGTATGTGACCTTAATTCATTCCAGACGGCTGTTCAGGTGCCGCTCCGTTTGAGTATCGAACAAGTTTTTTCCAACCAATTTTCTGTTTGGTTGGCTGTTATCACTAATCGTCGTAGGCCCCATGGTGACTTATTTATACAAATAATACAAAAAGACACCAAAAAATATGAAGAAACATGAAATAGTTTGCAGCGAAGTTCTGGCTGGTCGTATTTGTTTGGTCGAGTGCTGAGCCTTGCTTGAGTAGGGAGCTGGTCGTATACCGAGGTGCCACTATAATAATAATAATAATAATGATAACAATAATAATAATAATTTATCATTTTCAAATCATCTCTGTCTTTCTTTGCATTTGTGATGATGCTCTTTTCTTTGCAATATTTGGGTATCTT